TTTGGACATGTTGCCAGGAGGGATGGGTCCTTGGAGAGGGACATCATGCTTGGGAGGGTGGAGGGACAGTGCAGGAGGGGAAGACCTTCTATGAGATGGATTGATTCAGTGACTGGGGTAATCGGGATGGGTGTGTCAGAGGCAGTGCCGTTAGCGCAGGATAGAGCAGGGTTTAGGGCTGTTGTGCATAGGGTCGCTATGAGTCGAAAATGACTCGAGGGCACATAACAACAACAACAACTTATCTTGTTGTGGTACTCGAATATTTTATAAATTCTAGATAAAAGTCCCTAATCAGACATGTCATTATCAAATATATTTTCTCTGTCTATGGCTTCCTTTTTTACCCTGTTGCAGAAGTTTTTGGATGTGCAAAGGGCTTTGATTCTTAGAAGGTCCCATTCATCTATTTTACCCTCTCTTGGTTGTATGTTTTTCAGGATGCTTGGAAGACTCTTTATATTGTGAATTAGGGCTTTTAAAGTTCTTTCAAGCTTTTATCTAATAAAGTTTATAGTCATTGGTTTTAGTCCTAGGTCCTTGATCCACTTGAGTTGTTTTTTGTGTATGGTGTGAATCTTGCTTGAGTTTTCTACAGATAGTTTTCCCAGCACCATTTGTTAAAAAGGCCATTGTTTTCCCACTTAACTGATTTCATCACCTCATCAAAAATCAGTTGACTATAGGTAGATGGGCTTTTTTCTGAGTTCTCATTTCTATTCCATTGATCTGTGTGTCTGTCGTTGTACCAGGACCACACTATCTTCACCACCACGGCAGTGTAGTAGGATTTGAAATCAGGGAGTGAGATGCCTCCTACCTTGCTTCTCTTTTTTAAGGAGTGCTTTGCTTATTATTTGGGGCCTCTTCCCATTCCAAATTAAATTGGAGATTGCCTTTTCCATCTTGTTGAAGAATGGAATTTGTATTGTATTTGGATTGCACTGAACATCTAAATTGCCTTTGGTAGTATTCTCATTTTCACAGTATTGAGTCTTCCTATCCATGAGCAAGGTGTATGCTTCCATTTCTCCAAGTCTCTTTTTTGTTTCTTGTAGTAATGTTTTGTAATTTTCTTTGAATAGATCCTTGGTGCTTCAGGTTATATTTACTCCCAAGTATTTAATCTTGTGATTAGCTATTGTGAAGGGTATTGTTTCTCTTAGCTCCAGTTCTATATTCTCTTTGTCACTGTAGAGAAATCAAACTGATTTTTGTATGTTGATCTTGTATTCTGCCACTTTGCTGAATTGGTCAACTATGTCCAGTAGTTTTCTTTCTGAGTCTTTAGGATTTTCTAGGTATACTATCATATATCTGCAGAGAGAGATAATTTTACCTCTTCTTTGCAAATTTGGATACCTCTTCTTTCCTTCTTTTGTCTTATTGCTATTGCTAAGACTTCCAATACAATATTGAATAAGAGAGGTGATAGTGGGCATCCTTGCCTAGTTCCTGTTTTCAAAGGGAATGCCTTTAATCTCTCTCCGTTGAGAAGAATGTTGGCTCTCAGGTTTGCATATATACTTTTTACTATGTTGAAGAAATTCCCCTCTAGTTCTACTTTGTTGAGCATTTTAATCAGGAAAAGGTGTTGGATTTTGTCAAGGCCTTTTCTGCATCCATTGATAGGATCATGTGGTTCTTATTCTTTGCTTTGTTAATGTGATGAATTACATTGATTGTTTTTCTTATGTTGAACCATCCTTGCATATCTGTTATGAATCCCACTTGGTCATGGTGAATTATTTTTTTTTATGTATTGTTGTAGTCTATTGGCCAGGATTTTATTCAGGATTTTTGCATCTATGTACATGAGAGATATTGGCTTATAGTTTTCTATTTTGGTAATATCCTTACCTGGCTTTCATAGCAAGGATATGTTTGCTTCATAGAATGAGTCTGGGAGAATTCCATCCTTTTCTTTTTTCTGAAATAGTTTATGTAGAATTGATGACAGATCTTCTCTGAATGTTTGATAAAATTAGCTTGTAAAGCCATTTGGTCCAGGACTTTTTTTGGCTGGGAGTTGTTTTATTACTTTTCCAATTTCTTCTTTTGTAATGGGTCTGTTCAGGTGTTCAGTTTCGGTTGGTGTCAGTTTACCCAGGTTGTGAATTTTTAAGTATTTGTCTATTTCCTCTAGGTTGTCATATTTTTTGAGTATATTTTTTCCATAATATTCCAATGTTAGCCTTTTTATTTTAGTTGGTTCTGTTGTGACTTTGCCTGCTTCATCTTTTATTTAGACTGTGTCTTTTCCTTTATTAGTTTTGATAGTGTTTTATCAATTTTATTGACCTTTTCAAAGGACCAACTCCCAGTTTTTTGGTGGCATTTTGTTGTTGTTGATGTTAAATGGTTTTTTCAGTTTTCTATTTCATTTATTTCTACTCTAATTTTTATAATTACAGGTTTTTTAGAAGGTGTTAGATTTTCTTGCCTTTTTTTTCAGTTTGTTGGAGATGTTGGGTTAGAGAGTCAATGGTAATTTTTTCTTGTCTTTTAATATGTTTG